GCAGGAAATAAACTCCAAATTGTATTAGTCAGGTCACTAATTTTCATATCTTTTATTTAAGCTGGTTTTATGAAGAAGAATTTTTCTTTTCAGAAAATAATATGGAGCAGAAATCTATTCTTGTAAACCACTTTTGTTTAAGCAGACAATGCCTATCAGACGTGGCAATACCCAAAGCAACCCACACACTTTAATGGTAGATATTCAGGCTTTGAAGCTAGAAGTACATTTAATAGATTTTACAGCCTACATACATATGTAGTTGGAGTGTTTAATTTCAATCTGCTAGAGGAATAGCCAACTGAGGGCTAAGCAGCAGTTTGATTCACAGTGTTAGAAGCTCAAAACCTGTTTTCAATCTGTGGGGCTGATTTAAACACCGCAGTTTTAAGTGAGGTAGAGGGTTTCATTTCTTTCTCATCTCCCCTTCTCTCTGACTGCATGCCACCTATGCAGATAAAAGTGTGCCACTGCAAAATTACTTTTCCAGAAAGATTGCTGCAAGTTGAGGAGGAAAATGGATTTTTGTTACCTGGTTTTTCTGTACTGCTTTGTGAGGATATGACAGCTCATCCATAGGCAAAGTAACATAATGTCAAATAGTATTTTCATAGAAGCTCTTTAGGCATTTTTTCTAGATTTTTCTTAATATCTGAATGATTGCCTTATGGATATTTACATTTCTTTGCAACTATTATAATTTCCACAACCTGCTAAACCTGGAGAAAGACAGTAGTAATAGTTTCCACATTGCCAATAGGTTTTTCAACAGTGCAGTTCAGTCATACTGTAGATACCATCCCCACTCTTGTTTTGGTGGACATCAGTCTAAGTGACAGGGTGCATGTCCTTGCCAGTTCCTCTCCATGTGCCCACACATCTCAAGACTGCAGCCTGGTGCTACGTGTGCCAGGGCACGGGAAAGACTTGGAGCTGGCTGCTGGGACAGCTGTGATACATCCTTAGGTTTAGTGACAGGGCAGCAGATGTTCCTGTAGCATCTCTCTTTGTTAGGAGCAGGGTTGGCAGCCCACCAGTGTGAACACTAGTACTGTGAGCAGAAATTTCCCCCTGGAAACATCCTACAGGCTTTTGCACGTGGTTGAGTGTGTGATTGCAATCACAGGGGCAGGTTTGCAGATCCCCAACAAGCATGAGGAGAAACATCAAGGAGCACCTCATCCCAGTGTCCTGTGCGAGAAGCTCTCATCTCCTCGAGCAGCAATGAGTGCCTTAGTGGAAAAGTGGCCCTAAATTAGATTTAAGGATTACTGGTTTTCTTTCATGTGTTATTTGTATCTTGGTATATTTGTATCTTGGTGCTTTTCTTCTGAGAAAGGGTAAGTGGGAAATATCAGTTATCACATTAATCATTTTACCATAGAAGTAACTGGCAAAGAAACCCGACACCCTGAATCTGACATTTCCTAAGAACAATGTATATAATCTGAGAAATCTGAGTTATCATTACAAAGACTCTTCCTTACCATTGATTAGCTGTTTAGCGATAATTGTTATTGTCATTACTAGTTCTGCAAAATTTCAGCAAAACGTCACAGCTGAAGCAGAACAGGTTGCTTAGTTCAAGATTAGTGCCCACAGTTTCAGATGCTGAGTGAGTTGCTTTTTTTTTCTTTTAATAGGTAGCACACTGTGTTCCTGGTGTTTATTTTTCAATCAAATAAAGTCATTGAAGAGTGGTTTAGATTTTTTATGGAGCATGGAATTCCTGACCTTCAGTAGGCTCTGGGTTTGAGTGCTTGAGTTTGTACAGAATGCAACAAGATGTTCTGTTCCTAGCAGTCTGTGCCAGTGATTACTTTAATTAAGTTTTTTGGGAAGTTTTATAGGTTTTTGTTTCTACCTTTTTCTCTAACTCAAAATTGGTTTAATTCAAGAGGTAAGTTCTGCTAAAACGATTTCTTATTTAATGCCTCTTTCTGTGATAGGATGAGGGTAATGGTTTTAAAGTGAAAGAGGGTAGATTTAGGTAAGATATTAGGAAGAAAGTGTTTACAGTGAGGAAATATTTTACAATGAGGAAAGAACATGAATGACTGAGGGGCAAGGGACAGAACCACTGAATAGTTGGCTACTACAGGTGCTGCCTCTCCTTTCTGTGGTCACCTCTGTTAGGTAGTGTATTTGTTCAGGAAAAACTTCATTTCTGTGCTCTCAAATGTGTGTTGGACAGATCAGGGAATGCAGCTGCAAAGTCATTTGTGGTAGCAGAACCACCAGCTAATTAGTGATGCTATTTCAGGAGGAGGCAGGGCTTGCTCAGAGACAAGGGTTGCTAAGATTGTGCAGGAAAAGACAATCTCTATCTGATGACATGTCAGCTGGATGTGGGTAAGAGCAAGAGCAACCACAGCTTCTAGAGGGTCAGCAGTTTCATGCAGGGACAGACCAACAGAATAATGAGTCTTGGAGTTGTGTCATTCAGTGCAAATGCTTGTCATGTGCTGACCTCTGTGGCTTGGCATCATGCTGCATGATGGATCCCTGGCAATGCAGACTTTGGCTGAAAGATCTAGCTGTGCCCACATAGACTCTGGTTCTGAAATTATGAATATCTGTGTGGAGGAAAAAGTATGTGTTAGACCTCAGAATGTGTGATAAAAGCGTCATGGTCTACTGGGCAGTGACAGTGGAACTGAGTTCTGCTCCAGTTCTACCCTCATCACCCTCTTCTGTTTATTGCTTCACATCTTGTGGTGACTCTAAGACAAAGGAGGAATATCTGCAGCTGCAAAAATGATGAATGATTCTTGAACAGTATTTCATTGAGCATTAAAAGTGACTTCCAAAATACTTGTTCTCTTACAGTTTTCAACCACCAGAATCTTTCCAGGTGTAGGAAGAAAATTGGAAGAAGTGAAATCTATTTTAATTTGATAGAGGTTGATCCTTTGTTTAAGTTTACAGAACTAGTATTACTAGCAGAACTAGTACAGAACTAGTTACAGAACTAGTACAGAACTAGCCCTTCTCTTTGTTCAACTCACTGATGGTTATGGAAGATCTCACAGCTCATGTCTTTGGATGATGGAAACATGAATGTGGGAGCTGCTTTGGGTGGTATTTGTCTTCATGGAAATAACTGAATTTTATTTCAGTGTGCTTGTAGCAGAAGCAAATTGCTGTTTTGTCCCCAGTCTAAGAGTTGCTTGATATCTCTACTAAAATTAGACTTCTCCTCTCACAGCGACTGTCCTAGACACTTCTGGGATGGCCTTGACAGACATAACTCTTTATTCTGCAGTGGAAGAAGGCATAAGGACATTCAACTTCTGCTTTCATAGTCCCACAGATAAAGATGATTTCACTCACCAGCAGCAGTAGTTGTAGCTAAAGGGTGGTTTTTAATCTGTATTTACATACATTTTGTATAAAAATTATATAACAAGAAAACAAATCTCAGAATAATTATTTTGGTTTACCTGTGTCACAACTGCTAATAATACAAATTAAAAGGGCCATTATAGACTCTTCCATTATTTGAATGAGCCAATGCTGCCAATATAAATGCCTGATACTGTCAAAGCCTTGGAACTTGAAGTCAATCAGTGCTCCTTTGAAAAGCATCATTCACTGTTGAAGAATTTGGCTGTTAAACAATGTCTTTGCAAATAGATTAGAAGCCTTGAATAAATTGTCCTGAATAGAATGTACATAGGATATATATAGAATGTACATAGGATATGTAGACTGTACATAGAATATACAGTGTCTTCAGATTGCCCTGGGTAGTGGTTTTGATTCTTTTTAATGGCATGCAAAACAGTATATTGTGACTGCTTTTTTTGTCAAAAGTTCAGTTTTAGCAGCTCAAAAATTATATTTTCTTTCCAGACAAAAAATTCTTTATTTCCTGGAAACTTGAAAATACTTAGAGCAACCAGACATTTCTACAGGCTGTTTAAAGTCCTAATGAAGAATCTTTGATCCACCTCATTTTTAATCCTAAATGTATGCAAGGCAAAAATATGTTACCCTCAGGCTCTTTAAGACTCTTCCAGTTCTCCTGGCTGAGGCAGAACTCCCAACAAAGCTGATAATATTTTTTTCCAGTAAAAAAGCCATTGGTTTGACCATGTCTCATTATAGTCATTGTCTCATGAGGATGGAAACAGATGAGCACTGAAACACTCCTGGGCTATTTCAAAGCTCAGCATGCTCAGACAGATCTTCCCTTCTCATGCTCTTGGCAACCCCATGAAAGCCCAGAGAGGCTTTATTGGGAACAATTATCGTGGAAAGAGAACAGGACAATCAGCTTCTAATGAGAGAAGGATTTCTTCCAGGGATTTCAGACACAAAGTCTGCTATGTCAGATGAAAAGGCATTTGTAACATGGACAGATTTGACCACGTGGTCCACGATAGGTTCAAAGCCTACCAAGAAGCTGCAGGTTGGGTTTTTGTGGTGTGTGCACTCATGTGAGTAAGTCTAACTCAAAATATCAGTCAGACAATCCCAGAAATGTGAATGTTCATTTTGTTTTCCAGAATAGGCTACCAGATTCCACTGTTTGCTGGCTTCTGCATCATGTTTGTGTCAACAATCAGTAAGTGTCCACATCTTATTTGGTCTGGTCCAAGTGCAACTTTAAATAAATGTTCTATAATAATTACCACTAGGAATTACTCTTGTTGACATAGAGGGACTGATCCCCAAGGAGAATTTATGGGTGGCTGCTCCATGTGGATGGTGGTGCTGTTGAGATTTGACAAGTACCCTCTTGTGAAAGTACTCTAAGGAATTCACCAGTTTCCATCCCATCATGGCAGGTCTCTTCCTTAGCTGAATCTTCCTCTCAGTTTCTTGTAATCTGAAGCAGTGCTCAGACAGTTTGAAACAGATTATCAGCCATGAGAGGTCTATCTTGCAGGGCCCTTGACGACTAGCTGCTGTTAGGGCTTATCAGAAAGATTGTGAGGCTATAGTGGCTCGTGAGTGGAGTGTGAGCCAACAGGACCATCGCGTTGCTAAACATTGCTCTGGGGTGTGCAAACAGGAGCAGAGCCTGCAAGTCAGCTGAGGTAATTTCTCTGTTCTAAAGGCATTGATAAGGCTTTGGCTGCTGTTTTATGTCCAGTTTTGGCATGGCACTTAAAGTTGTGGTGCAGGTGGAAAGAGTACAGAGGAAAACATCAAGGATCATTAGAAGCCTGTGAGGAACTGTGAAATAACCAGGTTTCTTCAGAAGGCAGATGTAGGACATATCAGAGTATGATGAAAAGGAGGGGAATAAACAGTTTTTCCATGTCCACGACACGTAAGAGAAGTTATAAAGACCTGAAAACTGTATCATCTGAAGTGCTGGGGAAGATTACCAGGTCTTAGAGTCACTGACAACTCTGCCTTTTAGGATCATGTTGGGCAATTTTTTGTTGGGACGGACATAGGAGTAATGAGTCTAATTCATGGCAAAGGGAGGACCTTTTGATCTGCTGACATCCTTCCTTCACTTTTCTTGATTTTTCTCTGTCCAAGCGGGTAGGGATTTTTCTAAGACCTGGTGAAAAGCCCAAGAGGCACAATGCCACAGAGCAGGTGGGAGAAGTGCATGTGGAACTTGCATTTAGTTGGCATGTCACAGCTTCCCCCAGGTATTTAACCTGTCTGGAAAAATTCCTTAGTTGGCCAACAGATAGGAGCTGAAAATAGTTTTTAAAAACTCACTGTAGATGTAAAGATACTGACTCTACGAGCAGAGATGTGATGGGGTTTCTGGGACACTCCTTTTTTCCAGTGTTGTGGATGGAGAATTTAGCCAGACTGGTGAGTGCAGACTGGGCTCTGTCCCAAAAGACAGATAGTGGAGCCTGGGGTTAAATCTCTTGAGGAGAGATAGGGAGGCACCTCCTCTGGTGCAGATTCTCTGGTGTTTTGCTGTTGGGAGGATCAGGAACTTGTTACAGCCCTTGAATGGGTGGAGCTGGCCCCCCTGCATCTTCAGAGGTCTGTGCTAGACAGCATCTGTTAAAGAGCTGGCCACACCAGGGTGAAACCTCTCTCCACTCATTCACTTATTGGAGGAAACACCAGTGTGTGCAAGTGCTTGTGTGCTAAATCCTTCTTTCCTTGGATGCCTGGAACTTCAGGCTGGGCAGCTTTAGATGAAGCTGCATGAGGAGGTGAGGCTGGGAAGACAGGTCTTGTTACTCCTGTGTGCAGCTGAATCAGAGCAAGATGTAATTAAATCCCAAATAATTAGTTAAAACTGCTTGTGTGCTTGCATTCTGTGTTACCAGGAGGCTTAGACACCTGAGAGCAATTCAACACTGACACATCTAAATGCAATAAGAGGAAGTAATATGGTTAGCATTGAAAGTGGCACAAGTCACTGTAAACACTTGACTAAATTGTATGAAGTTTTTGTGATAGTTTCAAGAAATCTAATTTTTTAACCTAGTTAGAGTTAATCTAATTTAAAAATTTTACCTCCGTTTTCTCTGTAGTGTTTGCTTTCTCTGGAAGCTATGCATTACTGTTTATTGCCAGGTCCCTTCAAGGAGTGGGTTCCTCTTGTTCTTCAGTGGCAGGTAAGAAAAGAGATGATAGAGTAAAATGCAGATCAGTCATTCTGTCACTTTAGTATTTTTCTGAATTATATTTTGTCTGCAGTTTTTATAATGCAATAGAAATTGCAAAAACTATGTTTTATATAATAATTAATACAAATACTCAATTAAATCAATATCTTTTTCTGTGCCTTTCATATAAAGTAGCTCAAAAACAAATGTCTTTTCAGAACTCCTTGATATTTGGGTTGCAGTAAGACAGAGCACTAAATGAACTGCACTCTCCCTGGGATTTCTGCATGGACTTCTTCAACATTTTAAATTCATTTTTAGCCATTTTAAAGGTCATCGGGAACTTGTGTTGGTACTTATTACAGTAGGGATAGCAGCTCTGTCTGGTACTGAAATTTCTGTTATAAAATGTTGTTTTCAAGGATTTACCAAGCTGTCTGCCAGTTTGAACTCATGTTACCTGCATCAGATTTCCAATAGGAAGTTGTAATTTCTAATTAAGTGAGCGAAATAGAACGTGGGTTTTCAGCCCAAATTATTCAACCATTTCTGAGGCCGACACTGGAGAAAATATGTTGGTGGGTTTTTTTCTCATGTTAGAGCATTTTGCTGCCTTTTCTTGGAAAAATATCCCATGATGGCAGCAGAAATAGAAATCTGGCTTGGGAAGGGAGGTGAATGCAGAGTTTTGTCAAGAATGTGTCTTTTGGCTTCCTCAGCAAAATTCCCCCTTCCAAATTGGATGGTTCTGTAAACAATGTTCACATGAACTCCATAGAAACTTAACAAGGCTTTGGAGATTAATTTCTCCTAGGTTCCTTTTGCAGGGATTTTTCTCCAGCCTTTGTCTGGGCAGATGGGATACCCCAGCCTGAGTGTTCAAACTGGGAGCAAGAAGCACTTTATGCTTAAGACAGGCTTGAAGTTCCACCAGCAGAACTAATTAAGCAGATGGATTTAAAACTGGATGAGTAGTGGGAAGAGTGAAGATATGACTAAGGGAGCGGGCAGGGATGGGAAGAGGACCCAGGGATGGGGAAGGCAAAGACAAGAAGAGGGGTAGGGATAAGAAAATCTATCTTTTCTCCTTGAACCAGTGAATGTTACAAGTAAAACCTTCTGTACGAAGACATGTCAGAATCAAAATAATGATTCACCTTTAACTTAGGGCCTGTGCCAAGGTGCACCTGGAGGTGCAGGTCTTGGGGGAGCACATGACTTTTTGCACAGGGACCCTACAAAATCGAGCAGAAAAGGCCAAGAGGTTATCCAGTCCACCCCCTTCCTGAAGGCAGGATTGGCTTTGCATCTGTCATTCCTCGTGCACTCTTGACAGGCATATTCTCAGAAGCCTCCAGAAATGCCCTCAGCATCTTTTGTGCTTAAGTACCTTTACTGTCAGGAAGCTTTTTCTGATGTCTCATCTCAAATCTCCCTACTGTCATGTAAACACATTTCTGCTTCCTGTATTTGAGAAAGCATGAAGAACAGTTTCTTTTCTTTATCTTTGCAGCTCTTTTTCATATTGCAAGCCAACTACCACATCTCACATTAGTTTTCTCCCCTGGTTTTAAATTTAAAGTCCTGCAGTTGTGCCTCATAGATACTTTTCTAAGCCCTTGGACCCTCATTGCTTTTCCCTGGATAGAGTCCAGTCACCTCCTCTCTGTGCTGCACCTGCATTTGTGCATGTAATCATTCCTACCTAAGCAGAAAGCTTCCTGGCATCTTTTTTGTATTGCCTCCTATATTTTTTTTCCCCAGAATATTTATCCAAGTTGCACAAGTGCATTGTCAGTGTTGATACCATTCTCTAACTTCTTCAGTTGTTCATGCAAACCATTTGATGACTTCCACAATTTTCTTCTCATGTTCATTCACACAGGACCTCTGCTCTTTTGGTGCTTAGGACATTTTTGGTGCACATCAAGTATTCACTTAATGATCAATCATGAAATATTTTGTTTTCTATTTTTCTGGCTCATTGTGTAGCTGTGGACCCTATTTCCTGAGTCCTACTTAAGCCTTGGTTTGAAAACAGAATTATTAATTTCTGTGAGGACTTTTCTGCAGTGCTTACCTCTACAGTGTCTGAATGCTTCTCAGGAAACAGATAAATTTGACTTTGTGTTTCCTTTTGTCAGTTGAAGGCTCATCATCAAAGTGAGAAGTGAGGCATGAGAATACAACAACCAAAAGAATCCCTTTAATTTTGAATTATGAATTCAAAGTACTAATTTTCAAAGTACTCAGCTCTGCGCGATACCTCCTGGCCAGAGCACAGCCTGCAGTGGCCATGGTTAGAGCTGGCAGTGGGCACCAGAGCTTTGTGTCACATTCCAGAGTACAAATAACAGGTAGTGAATACTTGGCAAAAGCTTTGTTTCACCTAGTTGAAAGGCATGTCTAAAAGCTCTGTGAGAAAGGCAGGGAAAAATAATCTAGCAAATGAGGACATCATTAAGTTACCTGAGTAATCCTGTATAATAGAGACCATTTACATTTGCCAAACCTCCTTTTTGCTTCAAGGTGATTTCCATGCACAGGGGATAGATATCTGTATCAATCTCTATCTATCTATTTGTATGTATATATAGGGAAATACCTGCTGTCATATTTGTGGAATGTTTAGTAGGGCTCTCAAATGATGACCATAAATTACAGTACACAGCTGCCTGGTGTTGTGTTGTGCTTTTTGTAAATTTCCTTTTTATTTTAGGGATGGGTATGCTGGCCAGTGTGTACACAGATGATGAAGAGAGAGGCAACGCAATGGGAATTGCACTAGGAGGCCTTGCTATGGGAGTATTAGGTCAGTGAAATGGAGACAAGAGAAACCAGCCTTCCCCAGAGCATCTACTTGTGATCTATGACAGCAGCAGCAGAGGCACATGGAGGGCAGTGTTATCGTGCCATCTCCAGATTAGATCCCTGGTGCATGTTAAGAACAGTTTTTCCCACAGCAGCACATTTCTCATGCAGATACAAATGTCAGGCCATAATCTCTGACATGTTTGGTTTCATTTACGTGGAAGGCTATTTTAGCAAGTGAATAATATGGTTATTATAATGATCAATGAGTTTTGTGGTTAGTTTGGTTTTGTTTTTAAGTTGAGCTCTTTGGTGGCCGAGTGCCAGGGGCAGGATGCCCAAAGGCTTGCAGAGGATGCTCATGCGGAGGCTGAGATGTGGCTTCACCACTGTGTCCTTTGTCTCTCCCTGGCAGTGGGTCCACCTTTTGGGAGTGTCATGTACGAGTTTGTGGGGAAGAGTTCTCCTTTCCTAGTGCTGGCAGCACTGGCTCTGCTGGATGGAGGTTGGTAGATACGAGGAGTCAATGTCCCAGTGTTACTTTCCCTTTCATGGTATTACCATCTAACCCCTTCTTGAAGCAATGTAACAGTATTGATTTCTTTCCACAGCTGTTCAATTATTTATTCTGCAGCCATCCAGAGCACAAGCAGAAGTAAGTATGAAGGTAAAGCACTCTGGGCAATGGATGACACTTTGCCTTTCCTAATCCCAAGCTTTTGTTTCATAGAGTCAGAAGGGGACACCATTGCTGACACTGCTGAAGGACCCATATATCATTATTGCAGCAGGTACCAGATCTCTTTGTTTGTTTGTTGGTTTTTTTTGTTTGTTTTTTTTAAACCACCCACTGGTGTTACACCTGGAATCCTGGAATGCCTGAGCTGGTTTAACAACATTGTCATTGGCTGTTTGGCTGACATAAAGCTCAAAGAAAAGAAATATTATTTGGTAGTTCAGGATGGATGTACTGGTAGAAACATACCAGGCAGAAAGTTTGAAGTGTAGGTATCTTTCCAGCTGAGAGGACACTAGCGGCTTGCAATTGTTGGCTAAGACAATGAATTGCTGCACTGCACTGAGGTATGGCCACAAAACTGTCCATGAGACAAGTGAATAGAGCCAAGGCTTCCAGAAAGAAGGGTGCCAGCATGGACAGGAGTACTGTCACTGAGCTTTGTTTCCATCTGAAGAGGAAGTGAGTTTGTTCTCTGCCACGTGGATTACATTTCAGAAAAGGTCTGGGTTGTGTGGCAAATGGTGTTTGGTATTGCATGTACTGTTTGGCTAATGAGTCTTTCTGTCTGGAGAGAAGTTTGTCTTTTTGCATTGCATTTGGTTGAGTGTTTATTCTGAAATTGGTAATTAAGCCTGGCTCTTCTTAATGTTGATAAAACACCTGGAACCAGACAATTATTTTCACAGTTTTGTTTCTTAGCCCTAGTCTTCTTGTCCAACAAAGCAATTCTTCCAGGAATTTTTTGGGTGCTTTGTTTCTTGGTGGCCTTAAGGAATTAGCATAATATTAACTCTGTGACCAGACACTTGGTCAAGCTGTGACTTTTGTTTGAGAAATTCTTGAAGAATTGAAAGGCCTTTCCACAGAATAATGTTTGGAGGCAAAGTGTAGCAAAGTCAGTACCTGTTGTAAGAGATCAGCTCTATCATTCATCTGGTTCAGTACCTTGTCTTTTGCAGTGGTTTTAGCAGGGGTTGCAAGGTGAGACTCATCTAACATTATTTGTTCTCCAGCTATCCACTTCATGTGCAATCCCTGCCCAGGTCTAATCTGTGACAGAGCTTCGTTTACACCACAAAGTATGACAAGGGGACTGATTTTAAGGGGCTACTTTGCTGGACTAAGAGTTAGCTACTCCTGCCAAGTGTAGTCTTAGCCAAGGAAGATAAAAGGTACCAAGGACCCCACTATTTTGACCATTTCTAATGTCTGCTAGGAGCAGGGTTGGACTTTTTTCTGATTTTCTACCACATTGGCACTGCATTCAATTTCTGCAGCTATCCTTTCCAGCTGATGTTTGGGGGCTTCACTTCTGAAGCTGTTGCTTTTTTACAGTGAAAAGGATCTGAAAGTTTCCTTTGCTCTCCCCTACCCCAAGGAGTTCAGTATTTCCCTAACAGTGTTTTCTAAGATGGGAACTCCTGATCCTGATGGTAAGAGGGAAGGGTGGGTAAAGGTTTGGTTGGAATGGCAGTTAGCTCTGTGCCCTCACACCTTGGGGCAATCAGCCAAGGTCCCCTGCCACATTGCTCCATATGTAAGCCAGGATAATATGTCTTCTGCTTCACAAGGATGCTGTGAATGTCAGTGTCCCACACTGTATATGATGTTCAGATACAATGATTAGAGAGGAGAAGGTCAAAAGTCCCATTGGATTTGTGCTGCTCAGGGAGATTAGAGGTTTTGAATGGCTTTTAATGCAGTTACCTAGCTCATCAACAAATTGTCTGCATCTCTAGTGGGCTGAATTGTTAACTACAAGTAAAAGCCAGGGACATTTTAGGCATGCTGCAGAAGGGCTAACAGTCTGAGTGCTTCTTGTATTCTTGATTTAGGTACACTAATTTCATGGTATAAATTCAGATTCAATCTCCTGAGTGTGTGTCATGCACTTGAGTCATAATTGTTTGTATTCTCCAAAGTACAAGCACTTTCTGACCAATTTGGCTTGTCTGTAACTCAATATTGCTCTTTAACACAAGGTGCCTTGAACTCTGTAGCATGGAGTTCCTCTCTCTCCTTTCAGAATGCATAACTTTTCCCATGACAAAGCCATGCTGCCTGTGAGTTAATAAGATTGGCTGTCACTACAGCCAGGAGGCCAGTGTGCTCATCACTCACTGTGTATCACTGTCCCTGTGCCCAGTGCAGCTGCCTGGTGGCCTTCAGTGCCAGCAAAAGCTGTTGCAGGATGTCCTGTGACCATTCCTGTTCAACATGCACTCACCAGCTCAGGTGGGGAAGTCACAGAGCTGTCAGAGGGACAGGATCAGGTGAAGCTGCTCACATGAAAACCTCTGTGGGAGAAAAGAAACGTGAGCAAATACTGAGTCTGCCTCCTATGTACCTTGAGTCAGAGGTGATGCTTCAAAGTCAGTGCCATCAGTGCTCACTGGCTCAGGCAAAAGAAACATTGCTGCTGCACTTTGTCACTGTTGGTAGGAGCTCAGTGGGTGAAGTCAATGGTGTTCTTGCAGCCAGGCATGGCTGACAGGGATTAAAGATGCATTAGGTGCTACTGGCTGAGGAAGTTGCACAGACAGACAAGTTAGTTTAAATTATCAGATTCAAAAACCAGAGTTGAGACAGCTATCATCATGAACACATGGGTTCTTCAGAAAGTGTGCATCCTAAAGACCTGAAGTACCTTTCTCACCATATACCTGAGTACTTTGGTAAGCTCTGGTGACACTTCCTGACCCAATGTGTATGTGTGCACCTTGTTTCTCCATTCTTTGTGAAGTGTGTTAAGAGTAGAATAAGACCTTGGCTATTTAAACCACCTCTGTTAGAATGGCCCTGCTTCCTCTGCTTGCACTTTGTGTGGCCTGGAATGATTTTTTTCCCAGCATTGAGGAAGATGCTTGAGTTTGGCTGGGAAGAGGTGTTTAGCTGGGGCTCTTTGCAGATGCTTTACTCCTGGGAGCTTGCACCAGAGTGGAAAGGTTAGCTTCAGATCTAACCTTCTGTCTTTAGGGTAAAGCAGAGCTGAACTGTTGCTCCTTGCCCCAGGAAGGGAGTGAGCCAATGAGCCAGCAAGTTCATTTTAGGAATCGTGGCTACACAGTCTAATATATTCTGACAGGCTTGAGCAAAGAATGACATGGGTGCTCATTTTGTTTTGAACTCTGTGATGAGGAACTTGTTCCTGGGAAAGAACATTTCTCTGACGTTGGAAAAATTAAGCAATTTAATAAAAATTAAGAAAAATGTGGATGGGAAATGACTGTCAGAGTCTAGAATATTTTCCTAAATTTCAGAGTTTGTAAATATTAGGAAGAAACACAGGGATACAAATGCAAGGTTTTCACTTCTAGCAGTGACTTCCAAATTCCTTTGAAAGGCATTTTGTAAGGGATTAGCAGAGAGGACGTGTCCCCTTGCCCTGCATTAGGCTTTGACTGCCTTAGGATCTTTTGAGTAGGTGGGAAAGGCATCTGGAATCCGAAAAATACCACGGGGGTTACAGATCCCTGCACTAAAGCTGAATTTCACTACTGAGGAGAGACAGACTTGACAAACTCACTGGAGTCTGGATTTCAGGTGGTGGGAGGGGGCAGAGCTGAGCTGGGGGGCAAGACTGAATCAGCACTTCCCCACTTGTTATCCTTTGTGTCAGGGTGACTAAAGGTCCAGAATTCAAAAGAGATTTGGAAGCATTTGAAATTCATAGGGCTGGGCAAGCTCAGCCAAACCTGTGCTCTGCTGCATGGACTTCCTAGCTGCTGGCTATAGGATCCTGACACGAAATTCCCTTCTGTAGGGGATAGATATATCTGTGGTTGTCTCTTGGTATTTTTAGGATCAAGACCTCCACGTCTCATCACAGTCATTCTCAGATGATGGAGGCAGAGGGTCACAGCCTGTGCCTCTTACACAACAGGTCTCCAGTTTTGCCCCAGGAGACTAGATAAAGACCAAAAGATTGTAGTTTAAGCTAATCATTTGTACAACAGTCAGACCTCTTGAACTTTCTAAATGTCATCAAGCTCACTGAAAACTTTCACATTATGAAAACAGCTTAACCTTTACTGTAGAATTTCTAGGAGAATAGAAATATATAGAAAGTCAGTCTTCAGTGCTTTTACATTCTGTTCTAGTTAATATTAATCAACAACTGATGTGTAACAAATAAGACTGTAAAAAGCACAATGTTTTATGTAAAACCATCCAGTCTTTGTGTGGCTTTTTGTTTACAGTCAAAAGAAATAATTACTATTATTCCCTTCCCCCCCTCTCCCCCTTCTGTCTCTCAGGATCTATCTGCTTTGCAAACATGGGTATTGCTATGCTTGAACCAGCTCTGCCCATCTGGATGATGGAGACAATGTGTTCACAAAAATGGCAGCTTGGTAAAGTACAGTATATTATTTACATCTCCATATTTTGTCCAATGACTATTTCAGTTCTGGTCCTGTAAATGATGGTTGTCTTATATACTTGAGGGTGGTAATTTCTTTTGCTGTTTTTAAGCTGTCAGTGTTATACCTGCACAACTGCAAACATTGGTCTGTAAGAAAAGTAGGTAATGGATTGATGTTATGGCAATAGAGGCTCAAGAAAGGGACAACACTGGCTTTGCAAGGAGGAATAGGTGTGGGTAGCACCAGCACTGTGCTCATCCCAGCTCCTCTGGGACTCCATTTGGCAGTGGGTGTTGGCTGGGGCAGTTGCAAGATGCCTGTGAGCTGCAGAGTCAGCCCAGCAGGGCAAACCAGTTTGTTGTGGATTTTTCCTCAAGGAAATCCTTCCTCAGGTCTTAGTTTGAGTTGCCAGGAGCAGAGAGCCACAGAAACCTGCAGCAGGTGCAGGATGTTTGGTGCAGAGCACGCCCATGCCAATGTGTTCCTTCCAGGACTTCTGGCAATGTGTTAAAGAAGGATGGGCTTCTCTTAAAATGTGGCCACCAAGGGCACGTGGAGCATTTTCCCTGGAATCTGACAGATCCAACACCTTTTCAGTGGTTCCTTAGTCATCCCATTCAACAGAAAGCAATAGGAGAACCCTAATTCTGACCACCTTATAAGCCAGAACAGGGACACAGTCTTGGGAGACCAGTGTCCACAGGCAAACTGGGAATTTTGTCCCATCTATCAAGTTAGTCTAGAGAGTAAAACTGGGGCAGTTAATTTATCTTTCAGGTTAACAAGGAGGGGGAGGAGATGTAGAAAAGTGGACTAACTTCCTTTGAGCATCAAACTGGGTGTAGAAGGTTAAGGTGAATGATCTTGGGTGTAGGAAAGAGTTACTGTCAAAACCACAATATATATTTGATATTGTTAGCTAAGGTTCTGTGCTGTGGCTTTTTCTTTGAGTATTTTTAAATAGAATATATTTCCTCACTAGACTTTCGTGTTACTGGTGCAATGAAAATGAAATTTACAAATCTCTTAGTTGTACAGAAGTTCCTAGAAGTAAAATATCCAGTTTAAATTAGGAATTATTTTACCCCTTAATGATATAAGTAATTGACTCCATTACGCTTTGTCTGATTTGACAGCATTAATTAAAGTTTTTAAGCCTCTTAAATGATATCTTGAACTGCAGGGTTTTAAGCAAATCATTATCCCATGCAATTTGGAGATCCAGCTGTTTGGAGCATGATCCGAAGAAGGTATTATAGACCCCTTGGTCTCATCAATTAATATTATTGTGCATAAAGCTTATTTTAAAAAAAAAAAAAATCACTGTTCTGCTTCAGTATACCACAGCTTACACATCAACATGCAAGTCTTATTTAACAAGCCTCTGCAGCATTCTTTAGTTCCTTGAGCTATCCAGGTTTGCTATAGGTTTGGGATAACCAGCTCCAGGCAGCATCCATGGAGCTGCAGCTACACAGGTGAAAATGTTTCCCCAGCATCACCATTGCTTTTAATCCCAGGATATTGCTGGGCTAAAAATTACTTTTTGAGTAATTTTTTTCTTTCATTCTTATGAATATCAGAGAGATAGGAAGGAGGATGGATGGGCAGGAAATGAGAAACTCTGTGTTGCCTAGGTGAAAGATGAAGAGCACCTACACTTAAAAGGAACAGTCCGTGTACCGCAATGTCTGGCTGCTCTCTGCATCCGAATGACCTGGTTTCACAGTGACCAACTGTGCTGTGCACTAATTTGTCAGACTTTCCCAGTTGTTTTGTCAGTTTTTCCGGTTTTATTTTTCTTAAGAAGCTGCAAAATTTAACAGGCTCAACAGCAGAAGACTGTGTGTTATTTCTTCTAAGGCTCACGAACCTCTCAACACAAGGATCCAGCCTCAGGCACAGCCACCCCATTCTGCTGCCTCTTGGATATTTTTCACAGTGAATCCTCTCCTGAAGGGCAGTCCCTGCTCTCACACGTGCCTGTATTGTTCTCCCTGGTGCTCTCCAGGTAGCCAAGGCACTGGCACACCATGCTCTTTGGTAGCATTTCTTCCTTTGACAGTTTCCCTCCAGCTGGGTCCTGCCCTGTGACTTCCGTGTGGGGAGAGGAGCAATCCTCAAGCACAGGCTGTCACTGGCTTTAAACCAGAGATGTTTCTGCCTGCTGCACAGCCAGTACAGGCCCTGCTGTGGAAGCCTCAAGAGAAGAAAATAGTGCTGGTCCCAACTGTGCGTTTTTCCAAGCAGGGGGCATGCAGGAGTCTGGGTACCCCTCAGCAAGGTCAGCAGAAATTTACTTTGGTGCTCTCATTGGCAAGTTCTTAAATATAAGGTTTTTTAAAATTTAAACCAATAACTGAATATTTTTAAAATTAGTTTTTACTGTAAATATGTTGGCTAAATAATTTCAAAACCCTGTCTTCAAGGCTTTATTTAACTTTTAGATTATTGATAGAGGCTTGACTTCAGTCACTGCTTGACAAGGGCTGCACAACCTCACCTGGAACATGAGGCCTCCTGGTGCTCATGGGCTCAGAATGGGAAGGTGACTGGCAAAGCCACAGCAGCTGTCCTGCTGTCCCCTCCTCCAGGGAGGGATTCATCCACCTCTGACAGCTCTGGGCTTGCTGCATGTGCTGAACACATGCTCCACAAGCCATGCAACTGCCCAAGAGCTGCTCTCCTCAACCTATCCCAAAGCTTATTGTAGCTGGATATAAACATTTGCTCTTTGTTGTTCTGTCCTACCTCACATACCAGTTCTTGTAGCTGATGCTGAAAAAAGTTCAGTTTATCAAAAAGTTAACTCCCCTCACTCCTGCATTTCATAGATGATGTCCTTAGATTTCATGAGGAGGCTGCAACAAACCGGATATTTGATTCTCTCAGCTCTGCACAAAGACTGTTTTAGTTGTGTTCAAATCAAAATTGCAGTGTCTGGAATTTATTAGTTTCTTCTAACACTTCACTAAAATCTTTGCTGATAAAACATCTCATTCATATTTTTCAGGCGTCGCTTTTATTCCAGCTAGTATCTCTTATCTCATTGGGACTAATCTTTTTGGGATACTTGCACACAAAATAGGAAGGTATGCTTCATTTAAAAATACTTATTAATCTTCTAGTTTGTTCACGTACCATTTCCAGTGTTTCCCAGGGCAGTTTACTGATAGTGGAAATTATTAAAGTTTGTTGTCTGGTAGCAAAATAACTTTTTGGAACATGTTGCTACTTCAGTGGTGTAACCGAGCACTTCAGACATTTACTCTGAAATATTGAAGATCAGCTTTAACATCTCAGTGTCACCAGTCTCAGTGATGTTTCTCCTTTGATAGGTGGCTCTGTGCTTTACTCGGGATGCTAATCGTGGGAATAAGTATTTTATGCGTAAGTAGGAGATCTTGTATCTTCCAAACCATCTACACATGTGTTCATCTTCAAATATGTGCTTGCCCTATGAGTTTTTGCTCAAGCTTCTGCTTTATGATACATTATTAAACAATGTGTAGTTAATGGGTTCCAGATCAGAGTTTTGAGTGTTTTCAGAGTTCAGTGTTTCTATTATTTTAAGCAAGAATGGCTCTGAAAGGAGGAGGAAGGTCCTTTTCTTGAGCTGTCACTCAGCAGTTTATTCTTGCTCATAATAGTAAGTGTGTCAGTAGTTTAATGGCATAGTTGTCTGAAAGGGTAGCCCAGAACAAGAACTGAACTCTCACATCTGTACAAAGTCTGCCATAACTACTTCGAGAATCTGTCTTAGAAAATGAACCTCATTAGCACGTGCAGTGTGACATAATTAATTGCCTGACATTTCCTTTGTAGGTACCATTTGCTAAAAACATTTATGGGCTCATCGCACCAAATTTTGGAGTTGGATTTGCCATTGGTAAGAAAAATTACAAAGACTTCTTACAGTCTGTTGTTTATGTAAGAATGATTTTATATATGCAGTTAGGTGGAGAATTAGTTTTGTTGTCACTCTGATCTGAGAGTAGTGAAACCTGGGCTGTGGCTCAGACTGGTAGACAGAGCAGGAAGGACTGAAGGATGATGCTCAGGCAGTTTGAACCAGTCTGCCCAGAATTGCTGTCAACCTAAACAGGTCTTTCATGGGTTTTTTTCAATGTCTATGAATGTATACGTTGTTCTCAGAAGTAAAGCCAGGCACTGCCCAAACCCCACAGTCTTCCTTGTTGTGGAAAATAATTTATATAGATATTTTCATAGAAAAAATAAACAAGTTTAAACTTTTGTTCATCCGGTAGGAATTCCCAAGCCCATGGGCATGTACTGGTCCTCTGTGAATGCGTGTGAACTTTGCTCATACTGGACCATGCAGTCAGGATGCAGTGGGGACCATGGCTTTGTCTTTAGCACTTGGCTGGTCAGCAAATGTTCTGAGGCATCTGCAGACAGAAGGGTTGTGTGGTTAAGAAAGGAGTTATAGGCATAACTACAAATCCCCAGCACCTCAGCAGTTTTGTCAGCTGTCTTGTGCTATTCCTTGAAAGCGATGAAACTGGCTCAAAAGACACATTAAAATCCCTGTAGTGATCTTGATTGACTGGAGGCTAATGCAAACTTTTAGGCCTATAGTAAGTTCACACAAAATAACCTTCCCCTAAATGCAGGCTACCTGGCCACTGATGTGAGATGGGAGCCTTTGCATGGACAGCTGCTGAGAAGTTGATATGCTCTAAGCTTGTATCTCTTGTCCTCTGGCAAGTGTCACATGTACATGTCTATATATGACCTCAGACACAGCAAAGACCATACAAAACAAGGTTATACAGTTTCTTTTTACACAAACCTTTTATATCTATAAGAGTAATCATACTTCTAATTGCTTTTGCCTCCCTTTTTAAGGACATAGTTGGCCAAGATATTTTAATTTATTTATTTTTTTAAAAAGGCATTATTTTCCTGAAATATGTTTCTCTCCCTCACGACCAGGAATGGTGGACTCCTCCATGATGCCAATTATGGGCTACCTGGTAGATCTGCGCCACGTGTCGGTCTACGGCAGCGTGTACGCAATAGCTGATGTTGCCTTCTGCATGGGCTTTGCCATAGGTAAGTCCAGCCTTTTCCTGCCTATAATGCACAGTTAAGAAAAGAGAACATGCTACACTGCCAGGTGTGAATCCCAGTGAGCAGGTGTTCTTATTTCCAATCAAAGCAGAGGGAATTGTGTTAGGCATCTGCTGCCCGGCTCTGCTGCGATGCCGTGCTCAGCTTCATTAGCTGGAAGAGGCTTGAAGGTGTCAGGCACTGCACACAAATAGGATATCCCTAGGAAAGGGGCCTTGGAAGATTTCAAACTAATACCACAGCTGTGCTCCTAATAGTCTGCGAGGGGGAATAACTCCCTGATGGCTCCCCTGCCTCCTTGAGTGCCTGATAGAGATGACCCTTGGAGCACCTCTAATTTCTCCAATGAATGTGGAGTGTGGAGCCAGGGAAGGTCTGTCTTATAATTACAAACATGTTGTTGCATTCCTCAAATCAGTTTGTAAAGCAAGAGTTTTGCAGATAAAATTCCTGTTGTTTAAAGTGACTGCTGCATATTTTGTGCCTGAGTGATCTTCAGAAAAGGGGTTTTTTGTGCATACAAGGTCCTTCTGCTGGTGGTGCCATTGCAAAGGCCATTGGATTCCCATGGCTCATGACAATTATAGGGATTGTGGATATTCTCTTCGCTCCCCTCTGCTTCTTCCTTCGAAGCCCACCTGCCAAAGAGGAGAAAATGGTAAGTGTAACATGGTTTCTTCCTTGTGTTTTTAGTTCTGTTTGTTTGGTTTGAAGTGAAACAAATGCCAATTTGCTGCTGCGTCTTTGCCTCTGACGTCCCCAAAATGAGACCAGCACAGTTTAATCACACTAATTTATAATCTTTGGTATGAACTCCCCCTTCTCTTGATATCCAAGATGTATAAAGAAAAGCTTTTTATTAGTTAGGTGTTGCAAAGTCACAAATTTGATTATCATGGTCCAGCAGACATTCATCTGCAACAGCACACACTGCAGAGTCAGTAGAAAAGGCATTTTTGTTTTCCTTGCAGTGCCAGAGCTGTACTAACCAATTCAGTTTTATTCCTTTGTGTGCCTGTTTTTTTTCCACGGTCCTCTCCAGTTGCTGTTCCTACAGATTTCCAATAGATGAGGTTCAAAAGCCCTTTAGCTGGAGGAGGGGATCCATCACTTTGCTCACTAGGTTTCCTCTGCTCTGTGAGAAAATAGGAAGCTCCTAAAGGAATCAAAGCAGTACAGTCAGTAGTCAAAAAAATCAAAGTTGTGATTCCAGGGCTGGGAAAATAATGGAAAACAGGCAGCATTTCTTGCTGCAACATCTGTCACCCTCTATAGGTGTAGCCCAGCCAGCACTCCAGCCTCCCTCACATTGATGAGGTTGATTTGGGCCCAAAATGTAGTTTCTAGTTGTTTATTTGGGTGAACAGAAAATGTAACTTTTCATGGTCATGGTTTTGCTGTGGCAGCACTACAGGGTGAAGGCAGAGCCTCAGCGTGTGCTGCTCACACTCTGCACGGGCATGGGCAGAACTGAAAAAATGAATCTTGCTGAAATAGTGGTGCACGTGAGGCCAGACCTTTTGTCTTGCACATATTTGGACTGCAGAGTCTGAGAGATCCCAGTTAATCTCTAGAACCTTTGCAGACTGTACTATTTTATGTGATGTGTTACGTTGTTATGCTTTCTGTATGTTGTGTTATTTTCCCTAAGGCTGAAGAACAGAAAGGGAAAAAAAAAAAAAAAAAAGGTGTGTGGGGGGGTAGGGGCAAAAGAAAAAGCTGCTTGTTGTTTGCTAGAAATACCAAGTTTATTATGTGACTCCCTGGTTGCTGAGTTTCACTTGTAATATGGTAATCACTGAAGAGACAGGTTCTCTCTGCATAGCTTAAACACCTCCCCGTGGTGCCCTCCCTCCAACTTCCCCATGCCTTTAAATGCAAAGTGACTCCTATTCCCAAAGCAGCTTTTATCAGTGGACTGATGCGCTGGTCCACCTGGATTGGGAGAGAGTCAAAAGAAGGGTCACACACTTTACCATATGCAACACAAAATATGCTGCACAACTGCTCTGGATACAGGCTCAATTTTCCCTAGGAAAAATTCTTCCCCAAGAAGGTAATCTTGTAGCTGGCCCTTAACTACAGCAGTCACTTTTATCCTGCCCTGGGTGTCAGGTGGCAGAATTTGGGTCACCACTCTCCTTGTGCTGTTGTGCTGTTCTGGAGCTCCAGAGAAAGGGGTGGGAAATGAAAAGCTGGAATGGAAGATGCAGGCTGGGGCAGCAGGACTCTGCTCACCCATCCAGCTTTTAATAGATGAAGATTAAATGTAGAAGAGGTAAATTACTGTAACTGGAGAGCAGGTAGATCTTCAATTTAATACCTGGGCTGTGGATTGGGAAAGAGTCAAAAGAAGGGTCACACACTTTACCATATGCAACACAAAATATGCTGCACAACTGCTCTGGATACAGGCTCAATTTTCCCTAGGAAAAATTCTTCCCCAAGAAGGTAATCTTGTAGCTGGCCCTTAACTACAGCAGTCACTTTTATCCTGCCCTGGGTGTCAGGTGGCAGAATTTGGGTCACCACTCTCCTTGTGCTGTTGTGCTGTTCTGGAGCTCCAGAGAAAGGGGTGGGAAATGAAAAGCTGGAATGGAAGATGCAGGCTGGGGCAGCAGGACTCTGCTCACCCATCCAGCTTTTAATAGATGAAGATTAAATGTAGAAGAGGTAAATTACTGTAACTGGAGAGCAGGTAGATCTTCAATTTAATACCTGGGCTGATATTCTGGTTCCAGTAAGGTGACAGAAGTTTGCTGGTCATGTCTTTAGGGTTAAGATCCCACCTGGCACTTAACTGAGATCAGTTTGGGATCTATGTTCAGGGAGGAGAGGTGAATCCCTGAACACAGCTGGATGGCTGTGTGGTGCAGTCAACCACAGCCAGATGCTGAGCAGAAATCTTATTAATTATTCCCCCTCTGTTCTCTTCTAGGCAATACTCATGGATCACAACTGTCCTGTGAAAACCAAAATGTACACCCAGAACAACATCCAGTCCTACCCCATAGGTGATGAAGAAGAGTATGAAAGTGAATAACATGAAAAGCCATATGATATATTCTGGTGTACAAAATGCAGTGTTTCATGTGAAACATCTCATCCAGAAATAGGTTTTAGTTGTACTGTACATTTAATAGTGAAATGGTCAAAAAAACCAAAGGTATATTATTCATTGCCCATGGTTCTAAAGCAGACTGCTAACTGCCTTATAAAGAGGTGAAAAGCTTTTTACAGAGGATTTGTATAGTGTTTATCTTTATTTTGTGTATTTAATTTTATTGAATATTACACTCTATTTTTTCTTAAATGTGTAGCATAGATCTGCCTAGATGTGAATTCTAGCTGTTTAGTTTTTGAAGTCAACTCATTGACATAAAATATTTCATATTTTGTTTGGAGTCATGAGTTAGTGCTAAGAGCTTGGGTCTTTCTTACCTAATTGGAAGGAAAAAAACAAACCCAAAGCTCAAAGATGACTTTGCATATTATTAAATTATATCACTGTAAGTAGAATTGAGTCTAGATATCACTGGCATTTTTTTTTATCAACTTTCAGTCAAATATTATAAAAGGCAAAACATAATTAAAAAACATGAGTTGTCCCTGCACCTGGAATGTTGGGGAAAACAGTATTTATTTCAAACAGACAAGTGTATTGCTATTAGCTGGTACTAGTTAATGAAGTTTTAATTAGTCAACAAGTTGTGTGATATGAAGTCCCCCAAAAAACACAATAGCAGGTAAACAAGCAGGTATGAATGTGCTCAGTTCCTTTCCCTTAAAGGAGTAAGAACAGCATGAAGATACTGTTTATATTTCTATCTTTTGAATCCTTTATTTTTAATATCTCAACTTCATTTTAGGTGCATCTCAAGGGACTGGTTAAGAAAAGCTGCAGTTTCACAGTATTTAGTCTTAGCAATTACTGAAGGTAAGGTGGTAACTTAAGCAGGTCAAACAAAAAACAATTTTCCATGCATTTTCATGCACATCTAGAAAATCACCACCTATTTATTTTTTAAAAATGAGTTAAAATACCAACTTTGGTAAAAATAATGAGAAAATAGACTAGTTTGTTGCCAATATCTCTTAACAGTTGAGGATGCAGTCTAATACAGGTGAAGTACTGTATCAGGCATCTGCACTGAGAACAATCATAGAATGGTTTGGATTGGAAGGGATTTAGAAGAGCATCTAGCTCCAAACCCTCTCCAAGGACAGTGAAACCTTCCACTAGAACAATCAGAAAGAAAGCATTTTAAAGCAATCCCAATGTCCTTATCAACTGTGGTGTATCTTTTCATTTGTAAAATTTAAATCTTCATGTGCCTTCTTTCGTGTAATTGCAGATGGTTTATGTACTACAGCATAGATACTATGTTTACATATAGTTTTGTAAAGTGTATATACTATGGTAAAGATAAAAAAAAAGATATAGTGGATCAAACTTCAAGTATTGCTTTGTCAATAATGATGCAGTTAGCATTAAAATAAAGTTATCTGAAAGAAGTTAATGATCTATTGTAATAAAGTAAAAGCAATTAAAAAAGAAAGAGTCCCCCTCACCCTTTGCCTTATGCATTGTGTTTTACTCTATAGCAGGGGGGAAAAAGCTGATAAATATTTCAGGTTGTGTCCATTTGAAACTCAGGACAAAGATTCACTCCAGATTGAGCATAAATACATGCAATTTAAGTAACTGCAATGGCTTCCAAAATCAGTCTGTCTGTCATGTGTCTGCTGTTCCAAGATTTAACTTTTGGGAAATAGATAAGGTCAAAACCTGCAGTATGAGGGGACACCCCTGCACGTTCTTTAAATTAGATTCTGAGCAAATACCTTAAGCAGCTCCAATGGTGTGAAAGGCCAAGCAAAACATCCGTGGGTTGATTTGAAAAAAATCTCCTTGCAGCTTTTGTAGTGGTGTATCTTCAATGGCATTCATTTTAGCATATAACAGATGGAAAGTCTTCCTTCAAAGCTGAGAAGTGTTTGGAAACAGACATGAATACAGCACAAAACCAGACCATCCTATGTTGCCTACTTCACTGCTACTGAGTAAGTAACAAATGTGCAGATGGATGATTATTTACATTAGGTTTGGATTTTAATATTGTACAACATTTGGACACTTGAACTTAGGCCCCAAGGCAAGTCAATTAATTCACTGAACTCTTATTGGATTAACACTTTGGTGTTGACCAAAAAAATTGAAACTAACATGCCATTGTTAGAATTCTAAATTATCACATAATATGCTTATTAATTAGCCAGCTGATTAAGCAAGGTATTGCTTAAATTCACAAGTTTAAAAGTAAGGTAAACATAAGTACTTTTTTTTTTTTTTAATCATAGAATGGCTTACTTCATGGCTTGGTTTTGTGCTCAAAAGAACACCAAAATTAAGGATGAGTTCAGAGGACAGGGCAGAAGAAGAGTCAGAAGAATTTTTCCTGGACAATTTTTTCCCCCTGAAGTAACTCTGGTGGTAGTCACCAACACTGCCATCCAGTTATTGGTTGTGCAGTGCTTGGAGCTCTTAAAAAAGCCCACAAATACCCTTAACATTTTATAACATTATCCAGCTACACAAAGAATTAACATTTTGAAATAAATCTATGCCTACTATTAAACTGTGCAGAAGAAAATGAAATGCACATGCAAATAGAAAGAACGCATAAAAGCCCAATTAATCCAATCATCAAGAGTTTTATTTAAAGCAAAATGTGTTGTTTTTTTTTCCTCCCAAAAATCTTTAAGCTGTGGCTTTAGATGATAAAACTACCACAATAAAAAGGTCTAAAAAATATTAACAAAATGCCAAGAAGTTGGTAATTTAGCAAAACTATTTTATTAAAGCTTATTCTCATGATAAAATAATAGCCAACAAAATCATATTAGGCAGGTCTTCGGCAAACGTGTGTAGCTGCCAACTATTCAGATATTATTAAGCCAAGGTATTCTTGTTTTCTGTGGTATTCTTTATTTTCAGCTATTTACAATCAAGCATGAAGCAAAGATTACATCAGGAATGTAGTATTACAATTTTCTTCTCAAGATTCACCACTTACTGTAATTAATGCCAGACAGGAATTTCTGTTCTCCTTCTTAACACTAAAATACAACTAATTTTGCCCTTATCCCATTTGCTGCATTTAAAAATATTGCACTACCTTTAATTTATCTCTTACAATCATCATGAGCAATACTATAGGAGGAAAACTATATCCAGCTTTTCTCACCCACTGCATTACACAAGTCAATTAAAACCCACGGATGTGTTTTTTGAAATCAGTATTTGCATTGTTTTCACAGCTCCTTCATGTGTACCAGGGTTTGAATGAAGTAGTTGGATATATTTGAAAAGCTCTATAGTAGTCCATAAGAGCAAACACTGATGGAGATTGAATGCAGATCACCACCAATGGTAAGCCACTGAGAAAAATGGAGTGGGGGAGTCTTAATATATGCATCTCAAGCAAGTAGAGGTTAAATTACTTTTAATCAATAAGGGAAGCTAATTTTGTGCGATTATTTGCTGAAGCTTAATTTCAGAAGTGTGTTACATGCCTGTTGTAGCATGGATAGTGTTTTCCTTACATCAACTAAACAAGTATCAACTGCCTAGAACTCACAAAAAGGTGCAAGTAGTTGCATGAGTTCAAGTAACCGTTTAGAAGTACCATCTGTGAAAACCATTGCTTCTTAATTTTGCCCAGCATAAAATCAACTGAGAAGCAAATTGAATGGAGAGGTACATTACAGACTGCTGGAAAATTTAAACTAGTTATTTCACCATCTTAGATGCAACTCCATTTCCACATAGGCATTTTCTTTCTACTACCAGTGATACCAATACCAGTACCTAACACAGTACCTAAAGTAAAGATGATATTTTATATGGCATTTCTATACACAGAAGATGAAACAAAGACATGTTTACAGGAAATAAGTAAGACCAACAGCCATAGCCAGGTGATGCTAAGATCCAGAGTTTACACACAGCACAAGACCAGATAGTTCTTTTCAAAAGCTGCTGGCTGAAATTCTTCCTCATCTCTACTAGAAACACTCATTTTGACTCAAATAAAACATGTTATATACACTATAGGACATTATTCTGACAAAGGCAATCCTTCTGCTCAGACTGTCTGTTCTGTCTGAGAATGCAACTTACCAGACGTTTTGAGAGAACATGTTTAGCTATTCTGTAAAGTATTTTGTGCCTTAAGCTTTCTGAAATGATACAATCTGCAGCAAAATACTATATATATATTTTAAATTATTTAAACCATCATTATCTGCTTTTTCATAGAATGCCATGAAACCTTCAGCACTTGTGAAAAACAATCTTCCTTTATCAGGTTATCAGATTATACAACAACACTTAAATGTGTAATTTTGTTCAGGAAGGCAACCAGCCTCCAACATTCCCAATTCAATTATTAAGAGCTACTGGTATGTACTTTCATATCTAGCATTATTCCAGGATACAACAGACCCGAGTTCTAAGGAGGACTTTCTTTAGCATAGCATTACTACAATTCATTTAAATTACAAACTATGAAAAGTTCTTGTACTTAACAAAAATACAGCAAACAAATGATATGCAATGTTGACTTCATAAACATCAAGGACAGACCAAATGAAAAGACCTTTTGTTTGCTTTCATGATACGTTTGGCAAAAAATACACAACTACCTACAAGACGTACAATTAACTCTGATCATAATGTTTTAAAGCCTGGTCCCTCTGTGACTTCTGTGTCAGTCAGCAGCTTAGGCATGCAACAAGCTTATAATTTTTTCATCATACACTGAAAACTAAACATTTTGAAAACCCTGCCAGTTTCCTGTTGAAAACACTAGCTCAAAAAAAAAAAAAAAAA